AACAGAGTATACTGTTTCGCCCATGATACCCCCCATGCGTTGCCATTCCTGAGGACTGTTTGCATGATTACATGTTTATATATATATATATATATATATATATATATATATATATATATATATATATAAACATGCAATGTAAACATTCTGTCGTCGCATATGGCCGACATATTGTACAATCAATAACGAATAACAATAGTCACATTGCTGTTCTTAGTATTTTGTTTTGCGTGCACTATAAATATGTTTTACAACGCTGCCTGCGAACGTACGTACACCCACTTCGTATGACTAAATTAAATGTTCCTCACCCAAATCATCGTAAAATTGGTGGAATGTATCCATCGAAATTCATGTACATTGAAATATAACTTTTATTAATAATTGATATAAAGCTCATTTCACAATATGAGCAATAATGTACAGTCATAAATGTAAAAATTCTTACATAGTCACACAAGAATGACAATGTCACAACTGTTTTTCACTTCCAGGAAAGTTATCTTACAGGTGACTTTTGGAACCGCCTAAGCAGCGTTGATATGGCTGTCATAAAAGAACCTTATGGGTCCTATGCCATGAAATGAAATGTTCATAGATTGTCATGGCATATAACATGGCATGGCATCTTATATGCCATGATATTAACTCTCAGGTTGTGGAATGAACTCCCTGCCGAGGTTTTCCCAAGAGACTACAGCATGGGGTTCTTCAAAAGGGGGTAAAGAGTTTTCTTCAGGGTCAGCAACGCGCGCGTAATACCTCTGGTATTGCAGGTGTTCATAGGCTACGGTAACCACTTACCATCAGGTGGGCCGTATGCTTGTTTGCCACCTCAGTGGTATAAAAAAAATTGCGTATGACAAATAATTTAGTACCGTGTAACATTAGGTATTTACTTATTTAAAAAATGAACAACCTGTGAACATATATGAAATAAGTAATTAAGTGCCACCCATTATGCAATCGCCCGGTCCTCAAGTTAGGATACAACACAACAGTACTTAGTTTCCTAAATTGGAATGAAATCAAAAAGAAATACATGATGCATACATTTCTGTATGAGAATGACATCTTTGAATTTCAGTCACTTCAATCTACTTTACTACTAGGTGGCAAATAAGCATACGATATCAGCTCGCCTGATGGGAAGCACTTACCGTAGACTGAACGGCCAAATTCCTGGAACATTACACGCGCGATGCCGAATCTGAAAAAAACCTTTTACTTACCGTTATTTATCCCTTTTTTTATTACATATTAAATAAACTACACATCGTCACTAATATGACAAAATAATAAAGTGTTTACATATTATTATACACGACTGTACATGCAATGGACAATAAAAGTTGCTGAACATATTACATCATGCGTCTATACCATATTATATCGCAGAAGCCCATAAATGTGTATCGACTTCCGTGTATTATTGTACACATAACACATAATATAACCATGTCGATACTCTACCTGACAGCTTACTGCTAGGTAGCTATATTCTAGGGAGACTTTGTACAAAAGTCGATTACTTGGGTCCATTCTTGTTTCAACCGTGAAGCAGTTGTGTTTGCACGGCTGTGTTTCAATTTGAAGGGTGGGATATGGCGTGAATTTACAGGATACAGAGGAATAACACCTGAGTCCTCAAGAATGGCAACGCATGGGAGGTATCATGGGCGAATTAATATACTCTGTTATGTCCATGGTACTGCTCATGTCTATAGGCGACGGTTACCACTTTCCATCAGGTGGACCGTCAGCTTGTTTGACATTCTAAGTTGTATAAAAAAAGGCGGTCCTATTGCTGAGAGCAATCTTTTCAAGACAACCTTAGGGTAATGGACTAATTGTTGTACAAGTAAGTATTATAGTACTGTATAATTATAGGTGAAATTATGTATTATATACTGTTATTATGATATTCCTATGGGTATTATGGTTAACATTCGCCGTGTGGTCCCGGCATAGAACCACCCCTTCCTTTCCCGTGGATGTCATAAAAGACAACTAAGAGTAGGCGAGGGATGGGCAGCAGCGTCCCTATTAGTACATCTCTAAAAGCCTAACTACGATTGCCAACCCGCCTGCCAAGCCTGGCAAAATTCACCTTATGGGTAAGTCTTATGTCCAGCAGTGGACAGTTAACGGCTGAAATAATAATAATAATAAATAATAATGTATAATATTATATGTCAATACAATAAATTAATAAATTTAAAATACATTTAAAATCTTTATTTGATCAACACCTATGATTTCCTCAATTAGTTAAAACATGTAATACATAGGTGTAATACATTTTTTTACACCAAACGAAAGCGTCCTGTGTATCATTTAAACGCCTAAATAATGTAAAATACCATTCTCGGAGCAATTTCTCTTTGAAATAACTCGTTTTCTGTACTTTTGTTTGGTCGTGCACGAAATGTTAGGGTTGTCTCTGCGCTGAAACCAGTCAGCTGCAATTTTATTAATACTTATTCCGATTGCAGAATTATAATTAAAAATCCTACCAAAAAACTTATTGTTGTATACTAATATTCATGTATAAAAATGCCGATTTGAACTGAAATGAAATGTGTTTTTATTCGTAAAAAACGTAACTGTAGTTTCTTAACTACATATTAATATGATTTGGTTATTATATTTTAGCAGATAAACTAATATCAATTTGGAAAAAATATCATAAAGTTTCAATCACAAGGTAATAATATAATAATGATATATAATTATATATTAATTATCTTATAAATTAAAGTTAGGCTGTCATTTTAAACAAGAATTGACCGGTGACAACCCTAAATATTTAAAGCCTTCACATGAATATATGAGAGCATAATGACATGTAATTTGTCTTGTCCATGAAGGCAAACAAGACGTCTATAGTGAACAGTCTTTGTAAAGAGGACCTGAACAAAAAATATTTTCTAAAAACAAATATTATACGCATACGAACAGACAGACGGTTTGTGGTCTCAGACTGAAATGAAGAATCGTGTTACTCATATCTTATAAAAATAAATTACGTTCAAAGTAAAATGTAAAATACGTACAATAAATATTTTACAATACACTCACATTATCTGGGGGTATTATCAAAAATTATTGGTAACATTTGAATTTTACTATATAGATATAAGATTTAATATAAAAAATAAGGGATTTTATCTAGACAAGGTAATAAGAACTTTCATTTAGATGATTTGCAAATTCAATAACTGCATAAATATATTAATATCTATCTATAATATAGTGTTATATTGAACTACAGTATCGGCGACACAAAAAGATTGCATTTTTGTGGAACAAAAACGTAACATATGACAAATTAGTATAGTACGCACACATTTAATATAGATCATTAAAATCGCTCTACAACGGGCTCAGACCCTCAAAAAACATAGTTTCTTCGATTTATGTAATGTTTTCAAACATTTGTAAATTTTATACCGCATAAAAACAACAAATGACGAAATTAATATGGCACCAACACATTTAAATATATTTCAATTTCATTAAAAAATAATCATCGAAATCGCTCCACAATTGACTAAGATCCTGTAAAAAGTATACAGTATAAAATAAAATAACGTCTGATAAGAAAATAACTTATAAATAACATGGCCGATGTAAACCGACACCCGTGCCATCAGTAATCTAGTCCAATATTAGCGTATGACGCAACTCCACCTTCGTGTACTGTAATGTAGGTACTAATTATTTTACTGGTGTCCCTAAATAACTGACGCAGCCCTTGAAGGTCAGCAAGTCCGGTTAGCAACCTAAAACTGTGAGAACTTTAGTGTAAACATGTTATATTTTGTAATAAATCATGTTCGAACTATGAAAATAGCTGTAACAAGTAAACCAATTGCTTGTTAAACACGTTTTGGTAGGCTTTTTCAGTCGTTATTTACAGTTATAAATGTTATTATTGCTATTAATATCTCAAAGTTTTAGCTATAATTTTTTTTATAGCGATTCAGTTTTTTTTTTTGTTTTTGTTAGCATGTAGCCTACATTTCGCTCTGCAATTAAAAACAGTGACTTCATTATTTTCTTATTCTAATTTTAAGACAAATAAAATTCACCATTCTACGTAGAGATGTTTCAGAATTAAAATATTTTATTAATAACAACTGAAAATTATAACAAAAACAAATTATAATAAGTAATTTAAGTATATTGCTCCGCAAAGAAAAACACTTGATTCAATCGAGATATGGTATGACAACGTATGGGAGGTGTCATGGACGAAACAGTATACTATGTTATGTCCATGGTACCGCTCATGTATATAGGCGACGGTTACCACTTTCCATTAGGTGGGCCGTCAGCTTGTTTGCCATTCTAAGTTGTATAAAAAAAATATAATTAACATTGGACCAATATGAGTAAACCTTAGAGTAAACCTTATAGATTCTAGAAAAAAAAAATATAAAATTTAGTTTAGAATACACAGAAAAAAGTATAGAACCTCTCTCTTTTGAAGATGAATAACTTAGGATGCTGTAATTACAATTATTTCATGATGAACAAAACGCTAGGAGCTTTATTTGGCTTTCATCTTAGAAGGCTGCAAAAACTAAACCATTTGGGATACTTCCACTTTTCCACTCGTCGACTGAGAAATCGCATTGCGCTCTCCTGTCTTAAATAAACTCATATATTAATAATTCTCTTATATTTATTCAAAATTAAATTATAAATCATTCTAATTGAGTTATCATACAATTTATAATCATATAATTCAAATTTATATTAATTTTATAATAAATGCAAATTTGAAAATCGTTAAAAATATTTGCAAACATTTCCGTCATTGGATATATGTATTCCGAGAGGCGCGTCAACTTGGCCTATATATCGTGATCTTATTTACTTATTAGATTCCAAGACTTCACGACGAGATAAGATAAGAATTTATATGATGAGCAGTTATAAAAATGACGCACAGCAAGCCTTTTAAATAGGAATACCATAAATCCGAACACAGTGTCTCGCGAACCACGCTAGCCGAAAACCGACGCGACGTTAACGACGAGTAGAAATTTGTCGGAATTGTCGGAACTCGAACGTGCCGGCACTGTCAGAACTTGCAACCCTATTCTCGATACGTAACGAACGCCTCTTCAGTCGCTTCTCGAGGATTCGTAATCTCGAGTACGCTTTGAACTGAATGCTTTCTGGAGTGCATTACGAAGCTTTATTCGTCGGCGTCGCGTTTGATACCTTCGTCTGGTTCATATGTAATTCTTAATGGTGGCTGTGAATAAAGGCGATAATGTGTATTTATTTTAGTGATTGTGCCGCGATGTTTGTGAACGACTGAATTTATTTCAATGCCGCACGATTGTATTTATGGTATCTCACAACTTTCCCCGAGAAAGGTCGAAGGTCAATTAAAAAATCGTTCGTAACTCGCAGTCACGGGATTACAGAGCGTAAAACGTTCAAAAAAGGTTGTTTCAAAAAACTATTCCTGGATTTCGAATTATTTTTATAAGTAAGTATTTATTAAAGATATTATATTATTTTGTGTTCTTTTTACTATAATCTGTATATGCGCTCTATATTTCTGTCTGGAGAAATTGCACGCTTTTTAACATTTATTTTTACTTTCTTACAGCATCAAGTATTGAATAAATATTATAATAAAAGTACCTACCATATGCACGTTTACTTTTAAATTTATTAAAAGTTAGATTATTCTATTTTTTCTTTTCATTATTTGTAGAACCATCAGCCCTCATATCTACACTTGCTGTACTTTTATAGATATAATATTTCGTCCAAATCCATGCACCTTTTCTTTGATCGTATTCTCTCGTTGCATCTATCCTCGTTCATACTCGTATTCATCACTTATATATATAATATATATATATATATATATATATATATATATACTAGCTGACCCCGTAAACATTGTTTTACCACTTATTGCGAAATATAAAAATCGCAATTAAAATACAGGGGTTGATCGTAAAACGATGAAAATTTAAAGTTGTATGTATTTTTCAATGCTAAATTATAATAAAATAAAAATAAAAAAAAATTGTCAAAAAAATAAAAAAATATATTTTGGGGTGGGTACAAAAAGGAGTAAATAATCAAATAAAATGTTTTATAAAGTTTTTACCAAAGCAATCTCTTCCAGACAACCTTTTTCTCAATTCTCAATCTAATAATACAAATTACATCAATCATTTCACTTAAAATTTATTTTTTCTATATTAAACTCTTTTTTTATTTTCTATATTAAGCTTCTACACGACACAATATATTTTATTACATTATTAAATTAGAAAATGTAATGTTAAGAGTCTTATTTTCCCATTGGTCTCCTGAACATTGGTAGTTACGTCAACTTTGAAAGTAATATCCTTGTACGATTTGCCGTATAAGGCGTGCAGATAGCATTATTTTAAACACGAAGCGCTTGACCTAGTGGTAATATTTAATAGTTTATAGCCCACTATCCATTAAGTCTGATAAATGCACGCATGCGCAACAAATGACATTCTAATACTGAAAATTTCATTTTATCACATTGATTGACAGTTAATGACTTAATTGTTACATTGAAGTTACATAATACTTGTTGTAAATAGCAGGATGCAGCAATAAAACATATATGTACTTGAGATATAAAATAATAAGTTTAGTGAAAAAATACAAGACATGTCTTATAAAAATCTGACACAGAACAAACTTAAAAATAATACATTGTTCTGAAAAAACCTCAGTGTCAACAGCCAGTATTAAAACACCAACAATACTATGTATAAAAATTTAAATAAATACACATTGAAATTTTATTTCTTTCATTAAAATGAGATAATACTTTAAAAATTTAAATAAATTCAGAAAGTATACTATATATAACTCAAGGTACAAAGGAATAACACCGGAGTCCTCAGGAATGGCAACGCGTGAGGGGTATCATGAGCGAAAGTGTATACTCTGTTATGTTCATGATAGGCAAATAAGCTGACAGCCTACCTAATGGAAAATGATAACCTTCGCCTATAGACATGAGCAGTACCATGGGCATAACAGTATATACTGTTTCGCCCATGCGTTGCCATTCCTGAAGACTTATGTGTTATTCTTCTGTGCCCTGTAAGTTCACTGCCATATCCCATCATCAAACCGAAACACAGCCATGCAAACACAAAACACAAAAACACAAATTCTGAAGTAACAAATATAAAAAAATATGAGTGTGTAGGCAAATCGAGAACATCTTTATTTGGGAAGTCGCTTATAATACGCCCGAAAGACTTTGCAATTTGTGTCGGCAAACGTTCGATAATTACATATTTACTTCCAGCTTTGAAACGGGTCTCAACATAGACATATAATTAAATAAAAACCGGATTGACGTCTTTTAGAATTCTGTTTATAGTTTCTAGGACAGGATTGGTATAACAATGTTAAAAATTCATTAGACGGTTATTGTATTTACATAAATTGTCCACTTTAAAAACAATATTAGCGACTAATTTATTCAAACCGCAATTCAATCAATCAATGCAGTTTATTCTTCTAAATGTCAAAACTTAATGTGTGTGTTTCTTCGTGTGTGTGTGTGTGCATGCGTGTGTGCGTGCTTGCGTGGATGAAAGCATACGTATGTGTGTGTGTGTGTGTGTTCACATGTTCAGGGTATGTTCACTGTCGGGGATGAAAAGTTACTTACATCCTTCTCCATTCCATTTAGTACGCGTATACCAAACTTATTTATTTATTTATTCTTTATTGCACAATAAAGAAGAAGAAAGAATTCGAATTATCATACACTATATCAATTTCAGGTAATTTGGCATTAATTTCATTGTATGACGCACTAATCCTGGTCAGAGGTTGATGCAGTCCTAGGTTTGTTCTGCAGCGCGGTAAGCTAAATGTTCTAGTTATAGGGTGTCGAGGACAATTTAGAGGTACCATTAATTGGATTGAACTCAGTAAATCTACACAATGAATTTTATTATTGAGAATTTTATGAATAAACATTAAATACTTTAACTAGTAATTTAAGTAATGTGTTATTAATTACCAGAGCGAGACTTCATTTAAATATCGTTTTCTTGGCTACCTCTGTGTCTTTCATGTTTCTGTAATTTTATTTATTTATTTTATTTTATTTATTTGGCGCACATAACAGAAGCTTACAAATACAAACTTAAACTATGACATGCAAGTACATTAATGTATTGATAAGGTAAATTTACCATAACATGTTCACACATCTTGATCCAATAATAAATGCGACTGCAACAAAGCCATTCGGTTGCAACTATTAGTGACAAAAATTAAACATAAAAAGATACATAAACGTAAAGAAAGTTAAATAAAAACAAAATAATCATTAATTAAGAAGTTTCTAAATATTACATTATTCAAATAATTTTATACAATTGTAATGCAATGCCTACATCACTGTATTTCAATTTGATGAAATAAAACAGTGAAGTTTTTTTTTTTGATGGGTGAAAATGGAATGGTAACCCCGCCTGCGCTAACGGGATACGCTGGCGGAGTACCAGTGAAAGGTGATAGATGAGAATGAAAACAGGCCAGTTAGCCCATCATGATGAATTCATCAGGAATTAACCATGATAGTTTCCAGGGGTACCGTGAGGAGGTCGACCTGGTTGGATATACGAGGTTTGTCCGGAAAGTACGTATAAAAGTTTTTTAAAAATTTTATTTTACAATTATTCAGGTAAATCAATTTTATCCCCTTCAAAGTACTCCCCCTGTGACATAATGCACTTGTGCCAACGCCGTTTCCACTGTGAGAAGGCTCCTTGAAAGTCCTCTGGTTGTAGGTTTCTCAGCTGCCCCGTCGTAGCTTTTTTTATCTCATTTATGTCCCCCAAATGCCGCCCCCGAAGTACCAATTTGGTTTTTGGGAACAAGAAGAAGTCACACGGGGCCAAATCCGGCGAATAGGGGGGGTGTTCGGTCACCGTAATGGAATTTTTACTCAAAAACTCACGGACAACAAGAGAGGTGTGGGCAGGGGCATTGTCGTGGTGAAGAATCCAACGCCCCTCTCGCGCCAATTCTGGACGAACTCGTGCCACACGAGCTTTGAGGCGTCTGAGCACATCGACGTAGAATTTTCCATCAACTGTCTGGCCTGGAGGGACGAATTCTTGATGGACAATCCCCCGAACATCGAACTCTTTCTCGGCCCTCTCTGAATCTTTTTAGCCACTTGTGGACGGTTGGTTCCTTCACAGCATCATCCCCATAAACTGTTCTGAGATCGGCAAAAATTTCACGGCCATTCTTGCCGAGTTTCGAGAGAAACTTGATTACGACGCGCTGCTCTTCAACGGAAGCGGGCTCCATGCCGACGGGGTTTCGTTAAGAGGTAACTTCACAGATGGCGTGACAAGCCAGTTCGCACCGCACGGCGGTCAGACCAGAACTGAAGCATTTTTAGGGACATAAGGAAGGGGTCCTGCGCTTACCTGGCCTCCCCACTCCTCTTTCTCGCATTCCAGAACACTTTTATACGAACTTTCCGGACAGACCTCGTATTGCTAGCAATGGGATTCTCAGTCTCCATTACTAACAATCCCCCAAAACAGTGAAGTTATGAAGTATTGTGGCATAACACCTTAGTCAGGGGGGAAGGGATTGTTAGTAATGGGGTCTAACTGGCCAATTGCCAGCAATATCAGCATATAATTAGGCCGACCTCCACTTGGTTCCTCCTGGAACGATGGAAGCTGGAAGCACGATGGTCGTGCTTAATTCTAGTGGAATTGGACACGATGGGCTAACTGACCTGCTTTCATCGTCACCTATCACCTCTCAGTGGTGCCCCGATAGCGTATACCGATAGCGCAGGCTAGGTTACCATTCCATTTGCACCCATTAACAGAACACCTTAGTCCTCAGGGATAGCGTATTATTAATAATGTCGTAAATGGGCCGTTTACTTGTTTATCATTAAAACTTTTTTTTTTAGACATACAGTAAGAAGCTGACAGCTCATAGTAATAGAAAGTTATAACTGTCATAATTGTCTTAAAAAATATCACACTTTCAAGAAAAGATAATTTCACTCCGAAATTCATTCATCATCAACATTTCAGCCATTATCCGTCCACTGCTGGACATAGGCCTCCCCCATAGACTGCCATAAAGAACGATCCTGAGCCACCTGCATCCACTGTCTCCCTGCAATGCATTTCAGGTTATCACTCCATCTAGTGGGGGGGGGAATCGTTTTACACTGCATTTGCACGTCCGCGGTCGCCACTTAAGACGAGCCATGTGACCAGCCCATTGCCACTTCAGCTTGCTTATCCTTCGGGCTATGTCGGTTATTTTGGTTCTTTTGCGGATATCCTCGTTTCGGATTCTATCACGCAAAGAAACTCCGAGCATAGCCCCACCGAAATTCATTAATTTAACATAATTACAAATTGTTCTAGTTATTCTTTGGAAGAATGTCATTTACCTGCCTTGTTATCGCATATT